GCTATCCGTACCCAGCAGCATTAGTGAGTTGGGGTCAGGGACTCAGTGGATTTACCTCATATGAATAAAAGAGCTACATTACTCTTTTTTGTCCTTTGTCATCAGAAAGCATCAGTTATTTTGGACTAAATATAAGACTTGAGCTATAAACTGGTAATAGTGGGGCATGTATTCTAGAAGCTAATGGGATCGTGTGATTTGAAAAGCTAGGCACCTGGTTATCTTCTTAAGCCTTTTTTTTTTTTTTTTTTTTGTAGTTCAAATACACTTTTACAAACCAATTCTAATTACAAATGTCCATACTGTTCAACAGGAGGTAGCTTACAGTGAGTGAATTCCAAAGCATAGTACTCTGCCGTGACTAATGGGCTGTGAACATCACCTCTTTAACAGAGCTGCTCTGGAGATTTCACTTTACACAAGAAACCCATGTGCTAGGAAATTGTTCTTAGCTTAAGAACCAGGCTTACATAGCTTGACCACTGTGAGAGTGGTTTCAGGGGCCTTGCTAGCTGGAAGAAGAAGAAATTATCTCAAATAGGTGTTTCATCAAGTCCTCTGAAAGGATTTTAAGTGTCCAAACTTGGGAACTAGCTCTTGGAGACGCTAGGGACATGCTTCTCCTGCTGTGAATGTGCTCAACTTTTTTGATGATTCAGTCTTTAGTAGTGGTTGCTGAAGTGTGTTATGTGGGCACGGGCTAAGCTTGGTGAAAATTCTTGAAGTAACTTGCGTTGAATGCCATTGACGAGTCAACTAGGGGGAACACAATGGTTTTTAAGGTATTGCCCTGTGGTATGATTGTGCAGAATCACTCTTCTCAAGGATAGTTGAGATATGGAGAGGGAGATACATTGCTTTCCAGATCCTCCTGGTGCACTAGATACTTCAGCTATAGTGTCCAAGCTGGCTCTGTGGCTATTTAACACACTGCTCTGTGTGTACGTGCTGGGAAGGAACATTGGCATCTTCCAAGTGAATATATATGAGGGTCAGCTGTGGTCTGGATTCTTGATTGAAACGGCTTAAACTTTAGGGCTAAAACTTTCTGTTGTTTGTTGTGTGGCTGAGTGCTGGCTGAGAGCGGGAGAAGAGATTATCCTGTCACCCAGGTAGATGGAGAAGGAGATAAACTATTATGTCATGGTGCTCTAGTTTAAAAACTCTGCTGTTAATAGTAAGGGAAGCACGACATGTTACAGCCTTTGTGTAGATCTGCACAGGGAGACTGGGTTTGCACCCGTCAGTCCTCAGGCAAAGCAGTTCCGTGGGCCTCTGGTTGCACAGTGCAACGTGAGCAGCTCTGCTACAGGATGGCCTTCCACGCACTGCACCTCCTCCCCACCTTCCTAGGTGGAAGAAGGGCATGTCTGATAACTAATACGCTGCTGAAGTGAGCATTTGAAATCATAATCTCCAGGGTGGATTGGCAGGGGAGGCCGGCGGTGGGAAGGAAGTGGTGAAGGGAGCAAAGGACAGAAGAGGACTTTGGTTTTAGGACACATTACACTTAAAATTCTGAGACTGTTCCACTGACGGGCCACATAAAGAATTAGATTTACAATTTGGTAAGTTCCGTAGTAAAATAATTGGACTGGTGAAGCAATCTTACTTTCAGTAAATTGCTTTCCGAGGAGCCTATCCTGATTGGGGCTGTGCAGCTCGCTCTGATCTTTGAGCATCCTCAGGTCTCGTTGACTTCAGTGGGAATTAAACTCATTGAACTCCTCACTAGGTAATTAGTTCCTTATAGGTCTAATATTTCTGCTGCAAAGTGGTGGCTGCCTTTACTTTCAGTTAGGAGTCATACCCAGTGCTCCTCAAGTCCAAGCCTTAGCAGGCATGTATCATTTAATGCTTCTTTTGTAAGACACGTACTTAGGCATTTGTGCATATATTGTTCCTTACTGCTTTCTGTGGACAGGATCCCTGATAGTTTTGTTACACGGACTGCATCATGTTACAAATAGAACATGCAAAATACTTGATGGAACATCCAAAAAAAATCCTGTCGAAAGCCCGTAAGACAGTTTTATGTTTTGTTTTGTTTCTTTTAAGTAGGAAGTATTTGTTTTTCTTTCAAAAAGGGATGGATGCACTTCAAATTAAGAGGACAACTTCATTAGCATGGAGGATGAATGAGATGATAAATGAGATAATGAAAGTGAGATTTTTCTGCCTTTCCTTTCCATGAGAGAAGACTATTGAAATGCATTATATTTACATTCCTCAAATTACTGAAGCTCTAAATGTTTTTGCTTTCATGGTCTCCATTTGTGCACATTTTGGGATGATGGATTATGGAGCACTGGGTGTTGAGATGAAGAGAATCAATAGTGTGATACAAAAGATGAAATAACTCTGATGGAACATCAATAAAGGCTAAAAGTTGCCACAGGGATTTGAATCTTAAAGAAGAGCTTGAAAAACTATATTAAGTAGAATTTGCTTCTCCCCTTGCACTTGTAGTGTCTTTATTTCATGAGCAGAAGTCGCTTGGGGGTTCTTGTCAAGCACAGGGGTGGAGGAATTTTTATTTTTCTGTATGTAGATGGTGCCCAGCACAATGCCTCCCGGGTGCGATGTCTTCCGAGCATTGTCACAGGGTCATTGCTATCTCAGCCGATACCTGGCATGAATAAAAATGGAATAGAGTTCTTAATAGCCTTGTGTGCTGTTAAAGGGTTCAACAAATGCAAACTGCAGGAGAAGTAGGCGAGTTTTTATCATGCCATGTTTAAGAGAACGTGTGTTGCAGGTCTATTTACTGGTGTGCATAACCAGTATTCCCAACCAGAGTCTTCCCATTTGACTCCACCACTGGAAAAAGTGCAAGAACAATTTGAAGATCCAGATTTTGCCCTAGTGTTAGCACTGCACAAATAGCCTTAGCAATTTGTTAGGATGCGGTTTGGAATATTTGGTCTGGAACAGAGAGGATTGTTTGCCAAATAACATACTTCTCAGGATGAAGAAGGCTGTCTCATGTAAAATAGCTGTCATCTCTATCCAAGCAGAACTCCATTGTTTTGGTTTTGTTCTTTTTTTCTGGAGTACGGACTAAATGAGGTTAGTCTGATGTAATTCTGAGCTATAAAACAAGAAAATTGAGGAATCCTTGAATCATTTGCTAGGCAGACAGAAACCCGGGTGGGTGATGGTATAGGGATATATTTGATGAGTTCTGTCTCTAAATGATGTACGCATTGCAGATACACAGCAGAATTGTATTTTCATTGGTAGCTTTCATTAGGATCTTTATGTGAGGCACACCTGGAGCTCTACATTAGATTTTATGGATTTTATGGAAAAAGGTGCTATTGAATGTGACTGAAGGTATCACAGTATGCCTCTTAACATTTCTGTTGTAATTCTGAGTGTTCCTGTCCTCATTGTTAACCTCTTGTTTCCCAAATGTTTATTAGAACTACTTTCACAACTTATTTCTCATTTTTTTGCTTGCAGCAGTATGCAAAAAATCAAAATTCTGATTGCACACTGCATTCTGAAAGGATATTCATTGCTTTCACCTGCATAACTCATACTGATGTCACACTCTGGACTTCAATTAGAATTCTGACTCCATCATTCTCATAGTTTAAAAAACAAACACGAAATAAACCGCATAGCTTTATCACAAAGATAAACCAAAACCAGAGAGGCAGATTAACTTAGTGCCATAAACACTCCTCTGAATTCAATATACATTTTGAAACAGTAGTAATTTAGACATGTACCACTAAACAAATATGGGAAAGCCAGGCTGTTAGTGTTGAAAATCTTAGCTGTTTCTATCTAAGCAAAGATATGTAAAAGAAGATATGAAAAAAAAGTCCCAAGTATGGGACTTGCCTACTAAAATACGCCATGTAAAAATAAAGCTATTAAGGCAAGGTTGGCATCATCATTTTTTGTTTGCCAGTCAGGTGGTAGTTTCTGGCACTAAGTTTTAGAGCTGAAATAAATTAATGCAGAAACCAAGGTTAAGTCACACACCTTTTTGCTTAGTTCAAAGTCAAACCCTCACAAAAGGAAGAAAAAGAACACACTGTTCTGAAATACATCGGTGTTATTAGTAATATATTAAAATGCAACACATTTTAAAAAATACTACTTCTGTCAAATTATTTATTTATGTTGAATTCTGTCTTCCAAGGAATAGAGTACTTAATCCAGCAATGCATTTAAGCTTATGACTGATTTCAAGCATGGGAACACAGAACTACTCACATGCTTAAAGTTAAGCACAAGATTAATTGGACAAGGTTAATAGCCCTTCTGGGATGAGATCAAGTGTGCAGCCGTAAGGACCTGACTCTGCCAGTCTTACTCACGTATTTTTTCTGCAATGAGACACCTATGAGATTTTATCCCATTCGACACAAGAGTGGTGTAGCCAAATGCTACTTACGCCCTAAATCTAAGAGATGAAATCTTAAGCTTCAGGATCAGGCCTTCTCCCTTAATATTGCATCACACTGACTTTGGCAGCTTAAGTTTCATAGGGGTTCAGTGGAGAGTGTCCTCTAGGGATAACTGCTTTGCAGATGTGGTGGGAGAAGGGCCAGCAAGGGCGAGTAGTCAAGCTTAGCCTAGTTAGCCCAAGGAGACAAACACTGCCTTTAACCAGCTGCAGTTGATATTCTTCCTGAGTTCAAACCTTTGATTTAAATCAGGAGGACTACAGATCTTAACCCAAGCTAATGATGAACCTTAACCCATGCCACAGATGAATGCCTCAAGCAGCAGGCCTTTGTGGGGTTTAGATCTTGCTCTGATTCTTTCAGGAGTCCCAGAACTTGAGGAACTCAGTGCACAGTCTGCCTCTAAACCTGCAGGTCAGAGCTTTAGTGTTTCTTGGGGCAGGCAGTGGGAAGGCAGGCAAGGGGTACAAAACTCATATACTTCAAAAAAACTTTGTAAGTCACAAAATACAGTTCCTGCCCAAATCTGCTGTATTTCTGAGTGTGACATCAACCTTTTTTTGTCTCTACTTTCAGGTTGCTCCTATAATTAAAGAAAGGATGATGAAGAAGGGCAGCATGATGCTTGGATACCAGCCTCACCGGGGCAAAGTCAACTTCTTCCGCCAGGTCGTCATCAGCCCGCAAGTTAGTCGAAAGGACATGGACTTCTTGCTGGATGAAATTGAACTGCTTGCTAAGGACTTGTAGTTGTAGCTCCACAGCACTGGGCACTGCTCACCTGTGATATTTATGGAGAGAGAATGGCAGCAGCATTCTGGTGCTATTTTGTGAAAGGTAGTAAAAAGTTGGACATATAGTTTGGAAACTGTCGTTTTACAGAGTGATGTTGAGAGCTTTGCAGGTAGATCACCCCTTCACGGGAAAGTATTTGCTGATGAGGGCTGAGAGTGGCCAGGGGCAGGCCGGCGCTTGCAGCACCACTGCTGCCATCCTGGGAAGTGTTTCCTTGAGAAGGGTGCACTTCTGAAAATGGTGTCTACATTCCCGCAGGGAGGGCAGCTGTTTTTGGGGTGCCTGTGCACAGTGTAGCTCAAACTGGTCACTTACATATGCAGCAATACTCCTCTGAAGTTACTGTTAGAGTGTATTTAGCTCAGCGAGCTTTAAAATGCTAGTTAATACTCTGTCTACTCTGTCAATGTTTTAGTTTGGTATGTGTTTAAGGGTAGAGGCCTGGTTGGTAATTGCACTGATAATGCTGAACATCGTGGACTTGTATGAAGTGTTCCTCAAGGCCCCTAACTAGGTGGATTGCCCACGCGTTCTGCCATGAGCGCAGTCAGCATGGGGTTGTGCAGTTGCCACCCTCGGATTTTTGCAGGACCCACCTGCACAAAGCCCCGAGCAACCAACACTGACCTTGCTTTGAGCAGGTGAACTAGGTGACCTACTAAGGTCCCTTCCAACTGAACTGATTTTGTGATCCTCTGAAATACAATGATTTGGCCCAGTCAGTGTTTGCCAATGTTGCCCCCACAAAATATCACCACCACTTCAGCAGAGCTGAGAATACTGGAATAGCACTTAGAACTTCTTACCTCCTTGTTAACAGGAGTTACCTGTCATTTCTGAACTGCTGTTTGCCTTTCTCTGTTTTTAAAGTGTAAAGATTTATTTAGCAGCTTTTAGATGCACTTTAACATTCTAACAGAGAAAAAAAATATTTACCTGAAAGGTATATTTTTTATGCATGGTGACTAAACGTTAAGAGTATAGCAAAACTGCGTATTTGTCATTGTCTGTCTGTATTTTCCTACAGGTTTGCAATGACTCAATCTTACGTTATCAGTATATAACTTATAATTTTGCACTGAGATTAAGGTAGTGGTGTTCAGTGAAAGCCTGCTTGTGATTTTAGGATATGAACAGTCTGAGTATTTTCGGTCAATCTTAAATTGCAAAATTAAATTCTAAACTTTATGTTTGTGTTAAGAATTACAGTTTACTTTTGATCTGTTTTTATTCTATAAAATGATCTATTTTATAAAGATAGAAATGTGTTTCTTCCGGTGAAGTTTTTGCAGCAAACTAATGGAAATAACCATGTCTTTCACCTTGTGATCAACACCTACTTAGCTTTATTGTTTTGATGTTTGTTCCTTATTCTGTATTTGAGGTGGCACTGACCAATATGAACCTTTCTGCTATAATGTGAAAGCTGTCTTGAAACACAAGGCTTTCTTGTTTTCATTTCCTACATTGTACTAGGATCCAACGTTGTGTGACATTCCTACTTCCAATCTCCAGGATGATGGCATGAAAGTTTAACAAAGTCATGATACCCACAGAGGTCACAGTATCAGAGCAGGAGATAGGAGCAGGAGTTACCCTACAGCACCTGACAGATGCCTTTAACAGTGTCCTGGAAGCGCGTATTCTTGTGCTGTAGCACAAGACTTTAATCCAAAACTCTCATTGATATTAACATAAAACTCGATATAATGATGTGGTCCCTGGATTCTCCCCTGTAGTATCTGCAGTTCACTTCATCATTTATTACCTTCTGTTTCTGGCTTAACTAAATTCAGGGCCTGTAAAGCTTATTTAGCCTCACAGCCACTCTGTCTGGATTGCAGAGTACACAAGGGGTGCTGGATGGATGGGATGACTGCTGCTTCTTGAGTTAGATAGGACTGTTACCCCTTCTCCTTCTCTTTTTTGACCTTGAAGGGAAAGACAGAATACAGTGTCAAGTTGTTTTGATTACGGTCCATGTTCTCGGTGGATACTTGATTTTTGATTCAGGGGGAGCTATGTCACCTTCCATCAGCTAAGAATTTGGTCTGTGGTGTTTCGTGACACCACTACTATCAAAAAAGTCTTACTGTCTTGTTTCTTTTCCTGTTGTTAGTGCATTTCTCTGTGTCCAGATACTGTGACACTTAAATAGCACACGTCAGACTGAAGTAATGCAGTTCCTTTCTGTTGGAGTAGTGGCTATAGTGTTTTTAAATGAGAGCAAAATGGAACTTTAATGTTTGCAGAAAATAGGTCTCAGATCAACATGTGCACTGATTTCCTCCAAGGTATAGGTTAACCTTCCAGTGTGATGCGAGTACCTTATCTCATCTCCATATATTTTCTATTATTTCTGACCCCTTATCACATCCCAGATGCGCAGTATGATGGTCTCATTTCAGGACCAATGTAATTTTCTCATAGTTGCCTATTTAGTACTAGTATGCACAAAATGTCTATTTTGTAGCTGATGATTTTAATAAAAAGTTAAGTAAATGATACCCTTATAATTACAGGCTGTGTTTGTCATTTGTCAATCTAAAACTGCAGAGATATATATAAAAAAGTTATGTAGGAGCTCTCCAGATGGAGAAACAACAAAGTGCCAGGACAGCTTTATAATGTGAAACCTAGTTTAACCCTGCTTCAGGGTGTGGTTTATCTGTGTGCTATGCCCATATCATCTTTAATAAACACCTTGGATTGAAAATGTGCCACAATTTATCTTGTTCTTGCTTTCAAATGCAGAAGTTAATTTGTCTTTGCAGAAATGGCTTTTTTTTTTTTTTTTTTTTTACTATTCTAGCTAGATGGGATTGGCCCATGAGCTTCCTCTCCTAGTTACTGACAAGCACCATCTCTCGGGATGCTAAGTCAAGTGCTGGAAGTAGTGAAGTACAGGTATAAATCAGTGTAGAAGCTGATTCATTGACTATTTATAATTTCTTGTGTCTACTTCTAATAACCTTTTTTCAATATGGAAGAAAGGAAATATTTAGACAGAAGGGACGCTGAGGCAGTTTTTGCTCTTAGTTGTGTGGATGCATCTTGTGAGAACTTTGGGCATTTTGTGTTGGGTCCATGTGCAAAAATCACTCACACAAATCATTGTGCCTGGAAGAAGCAATCCTGGTCTGAGGACTTCTAATATGATTATCTGTGATAGATTAATACTAATCAATAGAGTTTTGTTATGTATGATTTTAGTGCTTGTAACTGGAAACCCTTGCTGGATTGGGCCCTGAGTTTTATCGTTGGGATCTTCCATTTCAACACCAGCAGTTTGGCACTCAGAACATCTCAGTTTATCTACTCAGGGTTTGTGCCTAGAGGTTCAGATTTACCTCTGTTTCTGTGAGACTGAATTGAAATGTATTTTCATTTGTATCCTTCAATGATGCATCAAGATGCTTTTAAATATCATTTGACCCTTAAAGGACAAGAAATGTCTTAAGAAAAGCCTAGTAGAACTGCTCGAGTTGCATTCCCAGAATGCCAGGTAAGAGCATCTAAAAACCTGTTATGTGTCTGAGGCTTCCTCATACACACAGATCACAGCATTAGTTCATGCTCAAATAATTTTTATTTTTAAACCCTTGGGTAGCGTGATTGGGCTTACAAAACCAATGCAAAATGTTGAAGGCAGAGGAGAAGAATAATTCAGAAACTAAGCTAAAAGTGTTTGAGTACCCCATTTTCAACAGTGCCAAATCTGCCCAGCCTCTCTTCCCTGTTGGCTACTTCCATGGGCTTTCAACAGGAGACTGAAGTGCGTTCATCTTGGAAGTCGCTTGTAGGTAAGGCCCACTCACACGCCTGCCCTCCTTCCTGTGGTAAATGCTGATAAAATCATTTGAGCTTATAAGCACTGTCTCTAGTACAGTAACTGCTAAATATTGCTACTGCTACATCCCGAAATAATGCAATTGCACACATTCATTATGTCTTAATTGCACATGCTAATTGCAGGTTAGATGCAATCAAAGCAGCACTGCCTGGCAAATACACTGTGTAAACCACGAGAAACCCTGGTGAAGGGGTTTTCTTTCTTTAAATTGAATCTACTCTCCCACAATTACATGTTTTTGCTTCAGATGTACAATTAGATGTTATTACTCTAATTCTGTAACTACACAATAATTAACCAAAAATTACTTTGAGAAGCAAAACAAAACAAGGAAATTTGCACAGCAAGAGGTACAATGAAGAGAACGTCAAAGGTTTTGAGGCAAACCCACAGAAGGAAACAATGGTCGTGTGAACGATTAACCTCTACTAAACCTAACGTACGTGAATGCGCCGCAGAGCTGCGCTGCGGGAGTGGAGCGGTGAAGCAGTACTCATCATGGGGTCGTCAGAGAACTTGCATATACCCTGACACTGCAGCAGTCTGCCCCGACACAGCATGGTCCATCCACTGGTCCTAGATAAGCCCTTTCAGAAGACAGGACACTTTGTAGTACATTAACAACTTGTGTATGTATCAGGGTAAATTTTGTTTTAAAGCAGTCTCAATAATAAAAGTGAAACTGAAAGGGTAACCTTGAAAAAGCCCACCAGAGATGACCACTCTAAGCCTTACTAGCTTGCGTACAACTGAAGTACAGTGGATCACATTTCTTAAATTCATTTAAAAAAATCAGTAAAATCTTTATTTTATGAAGGAAAAGGCAAATAATAGAAAATGAAGGACATAGACCCTTAATAGTTTTGCCAAACACAGATGTTCTGTTTTGATGAAGTAATTTCTTTCTTGTAAGTAACTTGGAGAGTGAGAATTTCTACAGAGCTATTTAAAAATGGAAAGTATGATGAAAGCACTTGCCATGAAATAGTAGAGGCCCATGGAAAATAACATCTGCTTTTGGGACTGTGCAGTCTATATTGTCCTCTGCACAACACTGTTCTTCCAAGAAACTTTCACCCCGCTTGTCATTCTGGGAATCGAC